GACATGAATACAGAGAACATTGTTTGAAGACCTCATTATGCTATATTTAAAAAGTAAAATTTTGATTTTGGACCATTGTAAGCTACATAACCTAAACTTTGTTTCAGTACTTATTTTTGTAACCCTGTTGAAATTCACAAATTCTACCCAAATTTATTTCCCTCAACGTCTTAACTCGAGAATTGATTTTTCTAGTATCATAGAGGTAAATCTTGTCACCCACTTGACGTGGCAGTCAAAGTGTTAATGTGATTTCTGAAGGTCAGATTCAAGGTCAATGTTTACCAGTAAATGGTGCAGACGAATCGAGAGCAGCAGCAAAGATACAGGCTGCTCGAAAGACGAGACTACGAAGTAATTTATATAAAATTAAATGGTGTACGTTTGAGAAATTGCGCGCGATTAAATCATACGTCAAGGGGTTAATCAGCGATCGTTGGCTGTTACGCGAGTCGATGGTAAACGTTGCCATCGCAATGTCGCGTACGCGTTGCGAGCCGATCGTTTCTCAGCGACGATGGTGTAATCGATAAAAAAAGGAGCAATATGTTTCGCCACGAACAGATTCGCTATCGACCCCGAGCATCGCTGGCTGCCGTTGAAAACTGCATTGCCCGTAGTATGGTTGCTAGCAATCGATGGTTAAGTGCAGTGTCATGGTCGCAGATACCAAGTCTAGCGACCACGTGCCGCGTGATAACAGACGGACGAGTGGAAAATGAAACAGGAAATCCGCGAGATTGCGGAGTATTCTTACTGGTTGCTTCGAATCTTTCGTTCGTTGCTAAGTATTACAAGGAAAAAAAACTAAGATTTCGGTTTGAGTTCCTTCGACGAACAGATGATTTTTCACGATTTGATTATACGTGGGAATAGTTTGTGAAAATATAGGTTGAGAATTTATAATCCTTCGATTTTTAGATAATTGTATTTGAATGTTTATCGAATACTCGCCGTTTCTACTCGAGAGGCTTAACATTAAATAAGTGTATCCTTCGAATCTTATCTCGAATCTGTTGGCCTCTTGATGTTATCTTTGATTTTGAGTACAATTAATATAACGATCCTAGGCCATTTTTATAAAAATAACATCGAACATTAAACTTTGAACATGTCGGATTAATATCGTTTCACTTTACGTAGTTAAGGAGCAACTTTTCGAAGTCTTGGAATTTCTAAACCATCTTTACCAAAATGTTTGGAATTTCAGGATCAGACATTGTATTTTCGGTAAAGAATTTTTTTCTCGAAAATTCGTAGGATTTCGAGGGTATGTCTATTCACCAAAAATGATCATAATTGACCCCCCACAACCGAAAATAATTTTTTCAGATCGATTTGGAATTTTTTAATTTCGCCGAAAAGTTTCTCCACCTTTCTGAATTTTTTTCTCGAAAGTGCGTAGAAATTCGGGGGTATGTCTATTCACCAAAAATGACTGTAACTGACCCCCATAACCGAAAATAATTTTTTTAATAAAATAAAATATGTAAAATCCCTACTTTTTATAGTAGAATAGTCGGGGTAAATATGCCCAACATTTCGAATAACCAGGTGTCAGATAATCGAAACTCTACTGTAGTTCACCTACATTTAAAAAAGCCATTGCAAAGGTGAGGTTTCACATCTATTTTTCTTTGTTACGTCTCTGGGAACACCAAACGACAGGATGAAATCTATTTCCTGAAGTCAATATCAATGTATACGTGAGTAGCTGAAATTCTAAACCAATTGGAGCAAGTGTTATATCATTTTTAAGCTCAATTATCCCAGCCAGGGCGCTCTCGTGATTATTCATCCCGTTGTTGGTTAATGATGTTGTTGATGAAGATACGACAATCCGTTCTAGGAGCTATTGTCGGTAATTTCTGTGCTTGGTTGTCGAGTTACGGTGCTTTGACTGCGTGGGCATAGGACATTGATCCGTTTACGTAGCGCGAGATATTTGTTACTCTTTGTCGCGTTATGTTGCATCGGTTATTCGTCCATTATAGACTCAAGAGACAGACACACGTGATACGGTTGTTAAATAAAATACTCCTTTTTCTCAAGCTTCTAAGAGTACATGTATTGTTCGAGCCTGCTTCGTCGGCGACACTCTATTATAGCAACTTGGAAAAATCGACATTTCTATTTCTTTCTGGTACGACTTTGGGCCTTGAAAATGTGCTTCTAAAAGATATAAAAATTCAAAAATACAACGGTGCTATGTGCGTTTCGCCACGCAGGTGTCAAGTATACTAGAGACGACGCCAGTAGGACGTTTCTGGCTTTGTTTAAAGTAAAGCCATATGGCGAAGACATCAATGTTACGTAAAAGGAATGTGAAGAAAAAAGGGATAGATCAAGGTTCCGTTATACAATTAAAAAAATCAAAATCGTCCATAAAACCTATTTATGAACATCTTCCACGAAGCAATGTACCAAAAAGACGTCTTGGCTCGTCTATGTGTAACATTTAAAAAAATTCTAACTCGGTATAATTCGTAATTGCCTTATAATCTTTGACAATTTTTAATGAAGATAGACACGATTAATCGTCGAAGTTTAACGATAGTATTTCTTGTATCATTTTTTGTTTTACGAGTAGAATTTCTGAAAAATTTAGAAACGACTGCTTCGAGGACTGATCTCTTTTTCTCATATCGATACACGGTTTTTCGATGCTCGCGTGCGACGATCGTCTTGGTGTCGGGCCAAACGTACGACAAGGCTTAAAATTAGAAACGGTCGGTGGACCGCAAGAGAATTTTGCAAATCGAACGTACGAATTGCCTATCAAAGCGGTAGAAAGAATTTCTACGTGGACCAGCGAACTAATGATACACTGCGAATTTAGGATGCGTCGAAGATGCAAAAATTATTGGATTGGTCGTCACGCTGAACAGAGAACACGCTCGAGAACGGTTTCAAATTTATGGAACTATTACGAAGGCGCTAAAGAAGAAACCAACCGAAGAACTTGGGGACAAAACGTGTTTATTCTAATTTATATTAGATCGACATAACGAGCAGAGATTTTTTGATACGAATAATTAGATGGAAATATCGTAGAAAATTTGACAAATATCTAAATGAGGTAAATATTTCGAAGATATAATTCGAAGTGACGTATACATTCCTAAATTCTTTGATCGTTCTTTTAGATTTAGTGAACTAAATGATGCTCGAACTAGAGAAACTGTACACTAAGCTTGTCTTGCGTTTTACACTACTCTAAAAGACAGTTCAATACGTAGTACACGTAAGAGGCGTATTTAAATGAGTGATTGGAAAAACAGGATCGTTCACTTCCTTTGAGGGTGAAGTTTACAAGACACATTTTAGGAGGCGAAAGCTAGAACTCGTTGCTGAAGTAACCTGTACCGAATATGCATTCGGCCTTCATTGTATGACGTAACGCGATAAAACTTCGGTGTATATTCTTTCGACGGAAGATCATTCAATCGTATCAATAAAATCGACTGGTATAGTACGCGTACAATTAATATTTCTCGCAGAATCTCCAATGAAACTTCGACGAATCAGATTGCCAAATATTAGAGATTCGCTTAAAAAAATAAATTATAAGATACCAACCAAGTAACAAACATAATACAATATTGCACTTATTTGGTGCATTGTTTCCACTTTATCCTCCGACTCTCGCCAATTTTATGTCGACCTTTTCACGAACAAACGTTTCTCGGAAGTGCATACGATTTATAAGTTTCTGTTCCTGTTACGCAAAAACTTTTATTTTCGTGTCTTATAAATTTTGTTCAAACTCTTATTTATCTATTCTCGTCGGAACTTGTGTGAGAACATTTATTATAGAACCTATTGAAAAAATCCCATAACTGTTTCGGCCCCTGATTAATAAGTGACTTTACTGAAACCGTTGGAAGATGGAGTTACTCGGAAACAAAGGATCTGGCTCGCGTTTATAGTGCGAATCGCAATGCAAACACGCTCGAGACGGAAAAAACCAACAAGATGGAGTAATTTACAAGAGGTTCGAGAAATCTAAGAAAGCAAAAGAAACAAGCAATTCCAAACGACTATTCGGAGGAAGACAAAGGACCACTTTATAGAATTGGCATAGCAGATTAATTGCTAACATCCGTATCTCTTATTATTGCCAGAAAGTTTAAAAAGTTTAAAGTTCTTTCTCTCGAAATCACATTTTTGATACTGGTTTGTAAAATATCTCGGGGCCTCCGATCGCCTCGATATTTGGCACACGTATAAAGCGAATGTTACTAGAATGGAAGTAGCCGAGTATTGGTTGCGTTTAGCAGTACTGGGGAGTACCAATGCTACCGTTGACGATCACAAACAGTAAACACCGCTTGTACAAACAGACAAAATGCAAATATCCCTGACCTATCAGCACATTGTATCGCAACTGTTCTTTATGTCGTAACTTTTAATAAAGCATGCACGACCTACGATGATGTTTCTTTTTAAAATAGAATATTCTGACGAAGTTTGGCACCTAAAAACTACCCTCGGATAAATAAGTTTATTTATGGAAGTTGTATGATACAAGGAAGGGAGGCTGTATATAATATAATATACTGTATAATACGAGAGTACAACAATCTTTCTAATCGCGTCATGTTCTTGTCTATGATCAGTAAAGTGACGAATCTTCAGGTTTTCGTCATCGAACCAGAGGATCGATTTTCTTTTTAGTATTTTACTCTACGATGTAAATGACCACACGTGGAATTTTACATTTTCAATCAGAGACTACCACGACAGTACAATATTTAAATCGTATTATGTTCGACTCTGCAAAATTGTTAGAAAGTTTATAAATAAATAATACCAGTATTTTTTTTTTTATCTCCTCTTAGAAAGAATCATCGATAGTATCGTGAAATCTAAAAATTACTAGTATTCCTGAATCGTGGTTCCCATTAAGGTTACGAGGGGTCAAAACCGACAAAATATCGGTATTTTTCGTATCGTTACAAGTCCATGCGCGAAAGGGGCCGTAGTAGAGATTAGCTCACCGAGCAAATAATGCCGTATCCATTTTTTCTTGGGCGGGGGCGGCATCCAGCTGCGTACCGGCTCGTCGTTGACGACCACGTCAATTATACCGACGACCTGCGTCGGCATCAGACTATTCGCGTCTCTGAGCCCGTTTACATTGTTGTTCGTCTCGTTGCCGGCGTCGATCGCGCGCTGCGCACCCGCAGCTTTAACCGCGTTCAAATTCATACAAGGTTGGACCGCCGCTGTGCCATCAGAGACCAAAAGAACTCCCATGTTACCGAGAGGACTCTCGATGGGCTGCTACGCACAACGTTCCGGCATATACGTGACCACACGGACGAAAAATACCAACGATGTACAGTGGTGCTGCTAGGCGTCGGAGGTGTATACACGCACACACGCGCACGCACGCACTCCGATGCACTGGAGAACGCTACTCCGCGGTCCTCCTCTCCTAGTATGTTCGAGAAACAGTTTCTATATCCATTTGCTATCCTCTCCGGTGCAATTTCCTACCGCATAATCGCTGGATTCATCGCGGGAATTTCGCGATCGCGACTAAACGGAGCTGGAACGCCTCCCACTCCTGCTCGAGACCAAGAACCGAGTCGAAGACGAATACGACGATGTAATCGATGCAACGGGTGAGCTTCGAAAGGGTAGTTTCGATCGGTATGCAACAGTTACGCGCCGGGGCGAGCAGGTGCGCTTTACGAGGCACGAAGAAATCGGCAGTGAAATAGACGCGCCGTCGATCAGACAGCCTCGCGACGACCGATAAAACTGTTGTTCAGGACGCGTCGAACGGCAGACTAGTCGAAAAGAAGTGGAAACGACCGGGAATGCGAAGCGCGTGAAAAAGAGAGAGGACTGCGTCACAGTTTCACAGAGGGGGGGAAGAGGGCAACGGTTACGACGAGTGAATACGACGAGGTCGCAATTTATACAACGGAAAGGAGAGAAAAAAAAAAAAATCAAAACTTTCGAAACACTCGCGGGGCACCGAGAGGCCTACGGATCCCCGAGGACCCCCATAAACCGATCGTAAATTAATTCCCGTCGATCGATTCCCATGTTCTTGGCGTGCGAAAAATTGTCCGGCGACTGTTGCCCGTTACGATCTTTAATTCGCTACGCAATTCTTTCCTAACTCGACGAAATCTCACTGACGACTTGTGTAATTGTTAAGCTGATAAAGCGGCGTCTTGGGTATCGGAGTGTCTGCACCGATACATGCAACCTCGACCACCGACCTTTTATGCTTATCTAACTAGGCATACTGCGGACAGCGTTCGCGACGTGTCCTTTTAAGCGAAACCGCTGGCGAAACGGCACGATGAAAGCGAAAACTACGTCGGCCGGTAAGCGGTCGCGTCGCGACGGTTGTCGTCCGACCAATCATCGATCGATAAACGACGATCCGTCGGGCCGAATCCCGGTGGCCGGTCGCTCCGGTACCGATCGTGCGCGCGAGACAATTCGACGAACGAAGGAAACTCGTACCGCGTGAGTCGCGGGTGCCGACTGAAGTCTAAACGTAAGTGCCACCGCCTCCAACCTGAGGATGACGATCCCCTGCTCCCTTACCCCACCCCTTGGCCCCGAGCACGCCGCCAGTGGCGACGGCGGCAGCGACGGCGACCAATCTCCTCTCAACCCGCCACCGCCGCCGTCGCCGCCGCCGCCGCCGTCGCCGCCGCCGCCTTCCGTGACATCTCCGTTCTCGCAAGAGCTGCCTCCAGTCACCCGCGACACTCTGTCCTTGTCGCTCGAGGAAACGCACTCTTTCTTTATATGCGACGCGTTTAAATTCCGAACGACGTACGCGAAATTGCGCGCGGCGTTTCGAAACGCAATCGGGACAAACGAGAATCGTCCGACCGTTACCGCGCTGCAACCATAAAACACATCGACGGGGAAAAAGACCTTCCAATTCGATTCTTTACTCTTTATTTTTGTTCACTTTACAATTTTTCCCCCCCTCTTTCTCTTCCTTTGTAAACCACCGGGCATCGATATCGCCGATTTTCAAAGATTTTACAAAGGTTTCGAAAAGTTCTGATCGAAACTGGTACGAGAAACCTAACGATCGAACTGTATCGTTTTAAGTTGAAGTCCTTGCATCGGCAATAAAGGGGAGTCCTGACGTAGAACAATTTCAATCGAATTAAAATGAGGATGAGACAACTTGATGCTCAGTTAATCAAGATAAACAATGGGGCGCAAATTTGGTTTTAATTGAACATTTTTCCTAATGTTTGATGATCAATGTTCCAACCAGTCGTTGATAAAGAAATCCAACAGCGATAAGACGAATAAATCTAAACGAAGATTAAGATTAGCGACGTTTATATTTCGGTAAAGTAATGTTAGATTTCAGCACTACAAGTTTTACGACGAGCAAACGAACGACGCCTCCGGTCGTCGGAGGCAGTGTACGGAAGACTTAAGTACTTGTACGTCACGGGCTTTGTGTTAAGAACGATACAACGTTGTGTCACGTAGAGAAACTGGATCCCGTCGATCGACGACAGGTTAGGAACCGAAGCCAGACGCGTGGAATTGCTCGAACTCGGTGAATTATACATGATCGCGGTAATAGGGAGGACAATCGATTGGTTAGTCAAAACAGCGTGCGCGAATTCGCGTGGGGCGACCAAGCGTACGAGCGCCGCGACGAAACTGGGGGAAAAACACTGTTTTCGATCTTTTTGAAATTCTACCGGAAAGTATGCGCGCATCTGTCGAATGCAAACACGCGAGACAGTTACGCGTTTAATGTTCGAAAAATAAATGTTTAACGATCTATTTCTGGCTTGTTTGCATAGAAAATCTGAAAGCTCTGCTTCTAATAAACGTGCTCCTTGAATTGCTGGCCTAAAAAATATACTAAGCGTTCGAAAACTAGATATCGTATCGTTCAAAATGTATCGTACCATGAAATATTACAATTGCAAACAAATTGTTTATATTTCTGTAATCTATAATAAATACTTTAAGGTCCTCAACGAATATTTTACTAATTTGCGAAGAAACGAATCAACAATTAAGTTATCGAATTCCCAATTTTGCTTTACGTGCTAATTTAAAAATATTTTTCTTTTAAATAATGAGACACTTACCGTCGATAATGAGCATTTTTTCTTCGCAAAACAAGTCATCTTGTTCCGTACGTTCCCTCTTTAATTTGGCACCTAAAACACAAAATGCAAATAAAAATTATATTAGAATTTGAGCAAAGTCACGTATACGTGACAGCGGCCGTCAAAGTGTTAAGAGAAATAATAATTTTTTAGTAACTGTCCCATTTAAGTTCAAAGAACTACTAGTTAATTTTTGGAACCTAACTCTACGTTTTGTACTAGTCCTCTGTTTCATATAACATGACATTTTGTCAGAGCCTAACTACCGTATCATGTGAGGGATATCTATATTTAAAAATGTCACGCTATTAATCTGAACATTGCAGTAACGATAAAACGTTAAAACATGTTACTGCGCGTAGTTGGCGAAAAGTGTGCGGTTGGCAAACTGTTAAAATGAAACGCACGTTATCCTGGAAGAGCATTCTCGTATCTCCTTTCTCCCTGCGTGCAATGTCACCGACAAACGCGACAGCGTGCGACAACGAGGAAAGCAGTAACTAGTCTCGGAGGTACCGAAGCGCAACACGTCACCGTTTCGTTGCACTTCCATCAGTCCCTTCCTTCGATAGTTCTTGGGTTTTCTTGGACGCATCTCGCCGCGTACAGACGGTTGAATCCACAGGTCGATAAGGTATGAAAAATTCAAAGAGTCGCGTCTCCACGTGCTACGGTGGTGGGGATAGAAAAGGGTATTCCCCTAGGTCAGCAGGGTGAGCGGGTAAGGATAGGTGACCGTCGGTGGGGGAGAAATGAAAACGCCGGGGAGCTTCGTCTCGTTTCGTCTCTCTCGCTCCTTTCTTCTCCGGGTCAGCGGCGGACTCGGCAACGTCGCAATTGATCAGGACGCCACGCGGCCGGACACGCGTGGTGGGGGCTTGCCGGGGACAAGGCGCATGCGCACTCGAGCAGCTCATTTGCCCGCGTGCTCGGCCGCCGATACAGTGCACTGGCGTTCTACTCCGTTTTACTTCGTTCTTATTTACCCCCCCCGGTTCTCTGCTCTAGCCTGTTTCGTTTACTCCCGATCTATTCGACCCGAATCCGACTCTGCTTTGTCCTACTCGCGTCGTTCCGTCCGGCAAGTGCACGCCTCCGTCGTCGTTTCTAAAAATTCACCGTGTATTCCTCGCCTACTTTTCCTACGCGACCGTTCCCTCGTACTTTCGTCCTCTGCTTTCCCCACTCCCGTGGCACTCTCCTACATAGAGGCGGCTAATCTGCAGGTATCCGGCCGGTGTAACGAACGTCTCGTCAGTGACGACGAATGGCTTTACGAGCACCCCAGCGTGAATTACCGATGCTGCGCGGTACGAGTGATTAGACTCGAAGTCTTGGAATACAGAACCGGTGCGACACCGGTTTCAATGTCGACCATCTTTCGCGAGAAAGACCACCCGACCAACCACCAAATGATTTTGCATATTTTCTCCAACGATACAACCAAGTGTATATCATTAAAGGATAACATGCATGCCGCGAATAAAAAGAGACGAACATTTGAGAAACGTTATTATATCGAGCGCGCAACGCAGGTAAATTGAATTGCTCGGATACACATCTCCCGAACCTTCCCGATGGATTTATGATTCTCGTGCGCCTATCGTACGAAACGCGCGCACGCTACGCGTGTTATGAAGTTGTACGGCGAATTGTAAAGCATCATTTAAGTACACGATAGACAGACTGAAATTATCGTTTAACGCACATTGCCTGTTATATCACGCACCGCCGTGCCAACGAGCACGCGCAACGCGGTAACAGACCGGATGCGCGAAGATAGGGAGCGAATTACAACGTTTAAATCATCCGTATTACGATCAGAGCCCGTGTGCGAGACCCGGTACTCAAGTTTTCCACTTCACAAGTCACTACTGATCTACCAAGTTTCTAACTCGTTTTAAGACCTCTCAACGCTTACACATTCAGCGCGGGCAATATTTTCAATGTTTTTTTATTAAACCCTTTCAACAGCAGCCGTGACTATAGTCACCCATCACTGCACGTTTGCTGAATCCTACTAGTGATTATAGTCACTTTGACTGTGTAACTACATAATGAAATATTTCATAATGAACAAATAAAAAGTCAACTGTTCGATCGAATAAATTGGAATATGTTGATCTTATTGATTATCTATTCAAATAAAAGTTTGCCCGTCCCTGCGTTTCGTAAATGCTTCGATCGAATCACTCTTCGATCGCTCGATAACTTGCGACGAAAGGTGATTATTATACGACAATGTGCGTCTGTTTGGTGAATAGCTGTCAAAAGTTGAACTTTGATCCAAGATTGCAAAACAGTCTGCGCCAGAAAATAATTCATTTTTTCGGCTATGGAAGATGTTATAAATTATTGCCAAATGATCGATCACCGCAGAAATTTATTATAGTTAGCATGAAGTATATCAAAATATGCTATAAAAACAATATGTTACGAAATTGTTCATACAAAAATTTGAGAAACTGTTTTGGAAGACTTTGCCACGCCCACTTTAGTTTTTTTCATTTCTTTTTTAAACATGGCACTCAAAATAAAGCAAAATTATTTTCTCGTCAATTTAATACTTCAACAATGAACTATTTTATCAAGAATAATAATATTGAACTATACTTACCATAAATATTTGAGTCTTTCAATTAAATTCAAACAATAATTTTTTAACCAAGTTAAATAATTACTAAAGTTTAGGAAGAATGAAAAGGCAAAGGTAGTGCTTATGGATTGGACGATCAAAATGAATAGAAAGCCAGCCGGTACAAGCATGTTATTATTTGTAATAAACGTTTCAACTTTCGCTTTAGATTTTCTTTTTTTATCAATTCTCACGTGGTATCAACCAATATTGGAACTTATTCTTTTTTTTTGTTTTACTTCTTAATCGAACTGCTCGCGTAAACATTCTTATTAGACAAATGATACAAAGACGTGGCAATGACGTACGAGTTGCCGTGATTGTAAACTTTACAATCGCGCATAATACACTTAACAACGCGCATTTAAAAAGTTTATCTTCCTAATTAAAAAATTTTGCAAATAATTCTGACACGACCCAATATACCAGATATGGCTCTTGGCATATGTTTTTTGACATATCTGTTTCGCGGTTTAATCAATTTCTCATTCG